GGAAACGACTCGACAGCACATAACAACAACAACTCAGATAAGATTAAAGAACATTTCCATTCCCCTAGAAAGTTCCTTCATGCCACTTCTTAGTCCCTGTATTTTCCTTCTTTGTTTTTTTATTTCCCCTTTTTTGTAAGGTTATTCTATAATATGTGTGTGTGTGTGTGTGTGTGTGTGTGTGTCTTCTTTGACTTATGACCTAACATAAAAATTGTCCATGCATTTATTAGTATTGCAAGTCATTTCTTTTAATTTCCAAGTAATATTCTATTTATTCCTATAATTCAGCATGTTTGCTGTATTCCTCTTGGTAAACATTTGAACATTGAACAATTTCAGTTTCTGATTATTGTGAATAAGGTTGCTCAGAGCATAATGTATGTCTTTTTATTTTTTATTTCATTAGGATAAATATTAAGGAATAGAATGGGTATATAGAGTTGATATAAATTTCATTAGAGTGAATAATGTCTTTTCATGCACTTCTGTGTCTGATCAAGTAGAAAAATACAAGGTAGATATTGCCGCGTTAGAAGAAATTTAGATGAGAGGAGTCATGACATTTTAAGCCTTAAACAATGGCTTGAAGATTTTATACTCCTGCATGTTCAACTCTGGAGTTTATCTTCCATGTATCAGGCGGCGTCTTAGGTTTTATGAGGAGTAGAACTACTGGGTCATAGGACATTTGGTTAACTGTTAAGAAACTGCCAAATAGTTCAAAGTGAGTGAAGCATTTTAGATTTCCATTTGCAATGTGTAACTGTTGCATATTTTCATGATCATTTGATGTTACTAGTCTTTGATTTTTGATTTTTATCTCCTTAGTAGTATCTCATTTGTGATTTTAATTTATTGCTAATGATCTTGGCCATCTTTTCTTGTCCTTATTAACAATTATTTTATCTCCTTTTGTAAGGTGTTTGTGTAAGGCTTTCATCCATTTTTTAAAATTGGGATATTTATCTTTTTATTACTGGCTTTTTTTTTTTCCCTTGGGAATAACAATTGTGAAATTGGTCCTTGACCAACAACAACCTTTCGTTTTATTTTTTTTTTTGTACATTTAATTGATATAATTTATCTTCATTTAAAAAATACTGGTTTGTTTACAAAGTTCATATACATTGTGTTTGATACTATTCTTCATTTACATTGTGTTTCATACAGTCATTCCCATGCATTATGTTGTTGTTTTTTTTACAGAGGTTTTGGATTTCCATTCATTCATTGCCGCAGTTTTCTCCCTTCCC